CATGGTGGCGCGTGCCTGTAATCCCAGCTACTCAGGAGGTTGAGGCAGGAGAATTGCCTGAACCCAGGAGGCGGAGGTTGCGGTGAGCCAAGATCATACCATTGCACTCCAGGCTGGGTAACAAGAGTGAAACTCCGTCTCAGAAAAAAAAAATCTTTGCCCAGCAAGTTCCTGCCCATCCTTCAGATCCCAGCTTAATATCACTCCTAATCAAAAGTAGTTCCCGTTACTCTTTCATAGCACCCCCTTTTCCCTCCATTGCATTTATCACAATTTAAAATTTGATACAAATAATTTTATATTTAACATCTATGCCCCCATTAGACTGTAAGCTCCATGAGAGCAAGGGCATGACATTTTCCCACCTTGCAAACTCAGAGTCTAGCACAGTAGTTTTCAATAAATTGATTGATCCAATAAAAATAATTAGCCTAACCTGGGCATGGTGACTCATGCCTATAATCCCAACACTTTAGAGGCCGGGGTGGGCAGATCACAAAGTCAGGAGATCGAGACCATCCTGGTTAACATGCTGAAATCCTATCTCTACTAAAAATACTAAAAATTAGCTAGGTGTGGTGGGGTGCACCAGTAGTCCCAGCTACCCAGGAGGCTGAGGCAGGAGAATCACTTGAACCCGGGAGAGGTGGAGGTTACAGTGAGCCGAGATCGTGCCACTGCACTCCAGCCTGGGCAACAGAGCGAGACTCCGTCTGAAAACAAAAACAAATAAACAAAAATTAGCCTGTGGCCACAGTTCTCAAATAGTGCAGTCTGTGTATTACTACAAACTCACAAGGGTGCCATGGGATACTTTAAACTTCTGAGTAAAACACAGCAACACTCAACAAAAGGATACTACATGAATTACAAACTTAAGATAGTTTGCAGTGTCAGCATCAGATTATGATAAAATCTGTTCAATATCTTCATATCTCTGAGAAGCTGTTTTTGGCAGTTGCTGTTATAAAAAAGTAAGCAGTACACAAAAATCAATATGGAATGGGAAATGAAAGTAGCAGTATGCAATTGTGATTCCATGGTTTGAGAAGCCACACAGTGCCTAACAGACACACACAGGTCTTTAGTAGGTAACTGTTGCTATTTAAGAATGAAATATAAATATTTTTTCTTTTTTTAATACAGGGTCTCACTCCTGTTGCTCAGGCAGGAGTGAAGTGTACAATTATGGCTTCGTTGCAGGCTTAACCTCACAGGCCCAAGTGATCCTCCCACCTCACTTTTAAATTTTTTTGTAGAAACAAGGTCTCACTATGCTGCCCAGGCTGGTCTTGAACTTCTGGGCTCAAGCAATCTGCCCAGTGCTGGGATTACAGGCACACACCACTGCACCTGGCCTTTTTTATTTTCAAATAGTTACTAAGTAGTTATAAAAAATGCTCATGTTGTTTGGAAATAACTATTTAATAAAACTATTAGGTATTTCTTTTGGCCTGTGGGTGTCAAGAACAATTTACTGAGAATAACAAGTGTTGTTAAGGATGTGGAGAAACTGGAATCCTTGTGTCCTGCTGGTAAGAATGTAAAATGAAATAGCTGCTATGGAAAATGGCAGTTCCTCAAAAAATAAGACAGAATTACCATATGATCCAGAAATCCCACTTCTGGGCATATACACAAAAGAATTCAGAGCCGGGGGCCGGGCGCAGTGGCTCAAGCCTGTAATCCCAGCACTTTGGGAGGCCGAGGCAGGTGGATCACAAGGTCAAGAGATCGAGACCATCCTGGTCA